CGCGCGCCTATCCCCGTTTTGCCCTACTGAGGAGACCCCTTAATTCATACATCATTAATTCCGTTCCATTGTTAATTACAAAAAACAGAACAGTTTTTTTCAATCATTGAAGTGATGATTAAATATAAATTTATATCGATCACAAAAGTGATCAATTCGTGATCGATTCATGAAACCTCGTTTTACGCACATGCCGCGCGTGCTAAAAAGCCGCTCACGAACATCGGGACAACAAAAATATGCTTCATCACTTAATCGAAACTAATTTTCCCAGCGAAAAATACTCCTTTGAGGGAAAATATATGACGAAAAATATTATTTTGACACTGTTACTACGTTCACCTCGTGCCGTAATGTGCCTTTCCGTTTGCTCGTAAACAAAAAATGTCAATTTTTATTTGGTTTTACTAATCGACAATTATTTTACTAATCGACAATTGGTATTAATGCTGACCCCTTTTTTTATAAATAAATAATCACCCATCAACGACTATCAATGAATTAGTAAATTATTAATCAGAATAAAAAACTAACCGATTAATGTATCAACTGTTAATCCTGTTTGATTTTTTTATCAATTATTTAAAGAGGAATTAATTGAATCTGGAAATTTCTGATTAACCCTGATGATGATGACTTTCGGATTAAAAAAAAACAATTATTTAGTCAATGAATCATTTCTATGGAGAGATTTTCAATTATTTACCCAACCATCAATTGAAGACCATAATTATGCAATATTCCGATCAATTTTCAATTTTTCCAAGACCACTTTCGATGCTTCAAACAATTCGTGATCGAAACGAAATAAACTATCATTAAAGAATTGACGCGAGGAATTTTTTGATTATTTCATTATTGGATAATTATCGCTGCATATTACAAAGTTATCCAATAATTCAAACCGTGCAAAAATTTATCAATTCTAAGACTTCGTCGTGGGAAAACCCCTGGACCGATTCATTCCAGTGATATTCTGATATCGTTAATCACAATTACATAATTCATTCGTGAAAAATCCTTGTCTGAGAAATTTTCATTTTTTTCTCCAGGACACTTTGGAAAAACCACTGGAGGGATTCACTTCAAAATGAAATCAGGTCTAAATTACATGAAGACCTTCCGATTGTGTTATCGATCATCTTGATCGCACAATTCATTCGGAAGAAATTGTCACACCCACACAATAGGTATTTCGTTCAGATGGGTTTAAAAAAGTTTTAAACACCCTAAAACATGGAGAAATGGTAAAAAAATCTAATGATTCTTTTTCGAGGTGATTACAGTAACTACTCGGTAGATTGGGAAGTTGTAAATGGTTAATTTTAATGAGCAATTAACTGGATAATTAAATAATCAATCGTTGAAATTATCCATTAATCAGTTTACTAATCATAATAATAAATAATTAATTGTTGAAATAACCAATTAATTTGATATTTAATAACTTTGTAATTGAATGAACAATTATCAANACTTCAAAATGAAATCAGGTCTAAATTACATGAACACCTTTTGATTGTGTTATCGATCATCTTGATCGCATAATTCATTCGGAAGAAATTGTCACACCCACACAATAGGTATTTCGTTCAGATGGGTTTAAAAAAGTTTTAAACACCCTAAAACATGGAGAAATGGTAGTAAAATCTAATGATTCATTTTCGAGGTGATTACAGTAACTACTCGGTAGATTGGGAAGTTGTAAATGGTTAATTTTAATGGGCGATTAACTGGATAATTAAATAATCAATCGTTGAAATTATCCATTAATCAGTTTACTAATCATAATAATAAATAATTAATTGTTGAAATAACCAATTAATTTGATATTTAATAACTTTGTAATTGAATGAACAATTATCAAAGTAATTAGGAAGTGTACGTTATTAATTATTTATGGATTGAAGAATCGATCAGTTTTTTGTGATGGTTGAGAATTGATCCGACAATCAGATAATTGGCTATCCTGATTAATGATTATTTGATCAACAAATTAATTTGCGGTTCTCATTTATGTATGAAATGATAATAGTCATTACTGTAGGCCTGTCATTTGAGTTAATGAGGCAAACAATTATGCAGTTAGCTCCTATTAGGGTCCACGACTCAGTTTTTACCTAAGAGTTCAGGTAGTACAGCCCTGGATATTTCACGAAAATAATCTTTTCAGTCTTATAGCGCCATCAGGTAACGGAAATTGTTACTGATAATTTTATTCTATATGTAATAAATGTATTCGATTCCTACAATACCGATGCTGGTTTATCGGCTTGGCGCGTTGTGGACACTTCGTCCTCGTGGACAGTTTCGCCCGTGCACTATTTCATTTGTGGACAGTTCTGCTGTGCACAGTAGCGCTCCGTGTACAGATCGGTGCCGTGTACAATTCTGACTCGGCGGATGTATCTCCCCCTTCACGTTGAGCCGGCAGTACTACGGTACTGTTCGCGCGCTCGCTACTCGTCTCCTTTCACGTCGAACGTCAACGTTAAGGATAATCGGGCGAGCCCGGAGGGTTAGAAAAAAGCAGCAATTTTTCTCTTATTTTTTACGTATTCTTTAAATGATGGAAAAGGCACGTGCAAAGTTTCAGACTGCTGGGGAACATTGTTAATTTATTATGAATTTTTGAAAAAGTGGTCATTTAACCCATGATCTTATGGAAATAACAAAAAAACTGCAAAACCCAAGGAAAAAAAGCAGCCAAAGTCATAAAACTTTAAACACATTTAGAACATGTGATCAATGATTTTTTGAGTGGAAAAGATTGTCGCCTAGGAGCATTGTTTATTAATAATAGCGAAAAAAGTACTGAAAAATGAAATTTCTGCACACGCAGCCCAAACGAGCAGCAACGTCTCAAGTACCGATCGGATGGGCGTAGCGCGGTCAATTTAAACGTCTCTTGGGAGAGAGCGATGAAGCGTTGTGATTGGAGCTCCCTCGAACCAGTGGTACCAGCTCCTGGTGAAAAACAAAACACTACCGACGATCAGGGTTGGGCATATCTCGCAGATGGAAGTTTATGACGTGACATTGTCAAATTCCGGTAATTTACCTCTGAGGCGTCAAAAATGTCAAAAAGTGTCAGAAAGCTCTTTACAAGGAAGCTAAGCTAAAAAGTCACAAGGGTCAAAAGTGAGAGGGACATCGGCCGGAAATCATTAAGATCACACGATCACGAGGGTTATCCTCGCGAAGGTTGAACATCGCAAGGGTTATGCCTTCTTAGGGTCAAACATCGCAAGGGTCAAACAACGCAAGCAATCCTTCAATCTGAAGGGTGAAACTAATAAGAGGGTCAACGGGGGACGCCAGGCGGTTCAATTACAAGGTTCCAACGGTCATAAAGTTTAAACAAAAAAAGCAAGTAGGTTCACAGGGGTCAAACAGGTCACTAGGTCACCGCCTAGTTATCCTGATTGACCCTTATGATTTACCTACTTTGTGATTGTTTCTTGATCGTTTGTGATTTTCCAGCTTGCCTGCGTCTTAATTTTAACTCTTGTGATTTTTCAACTTACCTCTCCTGTAGGCAGAACAATGACAAGGGTGGAATGATCATGAATTAAGAAAAAATAATTTGAAACTATTCCATTTGGTCTTTGTTGTTGCTTATGATCTTTTGACGCTCGCAAGTTATGATTGTGACGTTTGACCCTCCCAAGTTATGATTGTCACGTTTGACCCTTGCGAGGTATGATCTTTGCGACGATTGACCCTCGCGAAGCATAACCTGAGTGGGTACGATTTTTTCGAATTTTGACCCTTGTAACTCTGACAGGCGGTATTCTCGGTAAAAATCTCCCGGTTCTCCAAGGTGCTAATAGATGGCGCCACAGGTTTTTGACAGGTCAAAAAGCCGACAACTCGCCCGGGTAATTTACCTACTTTATGACCGGTCAAAAACCATGTAATTTACCTAAGGTAATTTACTTGCCCAACCCTGCCGACGATGTTGCCACTTTTTCGCATGGATTAATATTTTTTCATTTATAAAAAAAAAACAATCTGAAAACCATGCAATGCGTGGAACAGATACAAATAAATTTGATTAGCTCCAAAAATAATTTTTAACCGGAGATACTCCCTAATATTGCCTGAATTTTGAATCCGAATGGGAAAAATATTTTTGTTCAGCGATTGGTTTTCTGCAGGAAAACAATAGAAACCCCTCCGCCTCACCTCCTACATTTCCTCCTCGCCCGATTATCCTTAAACAGTAATCCCTTGTAGTTACAATTATACTAGATTCCAAATTAAAAGTCACACTGAAGTAATCCAAAACAGATAGCTCTGATGAAAAAATGTTTCGAACAAAAGTTGCATCATTACCATTGACATTGACGATACGATTTTTTGAATTTCGATGGAACCTTCGTGTACACGGTAAAAAATTTGGTGTTAAATTGACACAGATCGGTGTCCCAATGAGTCCACAGCGTTTTTGGTGTGGAGTTGCGGTGTTAAAATTACACTGCGCCATAGGACACCGCATGTCAAATCTGGTGTTAATTCAACACCAGTCGCTGTCCTAGGAAGTCCACACCGGATTTTTTACTGTGTAGCAGCGAATCATGACTAATCATAGAGAAGATAACTCCCTGTCCTCTGTTAAGATCGATCGAAATGATCGACCAATTCGAGAACAAATCAAAAGATGACATTGAAAACAATCATCTATAATAGACCAACTTTATGATAGCGAATTATTTTCGATAATTCTATTTATCAATAAAATGTAAACTCAAAGTTTTTATTCTTTCAAAAATTGGAAATTCACAAAACATTTTGAAGAGTTACTCAACGTCTAACAAACTTCACTTCCTCAAATTTTATGATAGCCACATATTTGATCAACTACAATGTAATACTACAATGTAATAATCTAAAAATAGTCCATTCAAAATATTGTTGTATTGTCATGTGGAAATACGTCCAGTGCTTCCAACAATTCCGAGCGATTCAATTTGACTTTTTCTGTTTATCAAATTAAGCGATGCCGTATGGAATGCTACCAGTACTCGAGATAAATGGAAAACCCATTGCCCAGAGTAATGCAGTAGCTAGATACCTCGCCCGGAAATTCGGCCTGGCAGGACAGAACGAGTGGGAGTCCATGCTTTGTGATGTTCTCGTTGACACTCTCGGGGATTTGAAGCTAGGTAAGCTACCACAATCAGCATCAACTTCTCTGATTCCAGCGAAACAAAAATTTAAACCCTCTAATTCTCCTTGCTTGGGCTATTATGCGGTCAAATTTTTAACTCCTCTCAAAAAAACAAATTCTCAATTACTCCCCACTATGCCAACGTTCGAGTGCTAAATGCACTCCTCATCAGGGCATTATTTGTTTTTATCTAATTCATACTATCACCATTCACACTACTAAACTCGCAATCTCCTATCACAACTGCTCCGTCTAACCTGAAGTCACAAGTGGCCATCGTAAAGAAAAAATACTTCTTTTTTTTTCTTTTTTTTTTCGATGGCCACTTGTAACTTTAGGTTAGAGGTAGCAGTTGTGATAGGAGATTGCGAGTTTAGTAGTGTTAATGGTGATAGTATGAATTAGATAAAAATAAATAATGCCCTGATGAGAAGTGCATTTAGCACTCGAAACGTTGGCATAGTGGGGAGTAATTGAGAATTTGTTTTTTTGAGAGGAGTTAAAAATTTGACCGCATAATGGCCCAAGCAAGGAGAATCAGAGGAATTAATACAAGCGGTCCAAAGAGGAGTTTGATGAAAAATTTAAATCAATTTCCCGGAGAAAAATTCTATTTGCTAGGAAACACGCACCAACTGAGTAATAAGTATTAAAATCCTGTTCGAACTCGGGAAGAATACCGGGCATTTCTGACTCGTTGCCTTGAGTATTCGGAAACCTATGTCGAGTATCGATTTCACCCGAGATGTGTCAAAACGCTCCCTGAAATTAGTCCGTTATTCGTCACCAGTCGAACGTATCAGTGCGAGAAAATTATCATTGAACAATTATCTTCTGTAAAATCATCGTGAATAATTATCTGCCAAAATTATCGTGTAAATCAACTTGTGATAAAATGCATCTTTAATTAATTAGTTATTCGAGTCACTAAAAATGAGTATTTTTCTTTTGTTTATGCGACATTTACTAGTGTAAATTCATTAAAACTTCAACACGGATTTCCAAATATTCATCAAAGACATTTTCGTTCAGTTAGACAATCACCAGGAGTTTACTGTGATATTAAAAGTGCACATTAATTTTTTCGTGATTAAATTGACTTGGCTTCGGTCTAATTACGGGTTTTTTCTTTCTTAAGAGGGCACGAGAGTAAAAAAAAACTACAGAAACGCAGGCAAATCTGAGCTCTACAAATTCTCTTCAATTGGATGGAATTCTGAGGCTCAAAAACTATCAGCACCAAATCCTTAATACTTCGAAAATGTTATGGAACAAGTTGAGGGTGGTCTGAGGAGGATCAATATTTTTTTTTAATGTTGAAAAGTACGAGGTGGCTGATGACAGCTGTGAGCGCCGCCATCTTGGAAGTACCTTGTGGTCCAGGTAGGGGGATCCAAGCATCATGGCGACGACCAGACCTGTCAACCACCTCGTATTTTTAATCATTTATTAAAAATATTTATCCTTCTCACACCACCCTCAACTTGTTCCATAACACTTTCGTGGTGTTAATGATTTGGTGGTGACCACTTTTGAGCCTCGGAATTCAGCAAACGACGAGAATTTATGGAGCTCAGATTTGTCCGCATTTCGATAGTTTTTTTTACCCTCGTGCCCTCTTAAGACCAAATCTCCCAACCTGCCTTTAATTCTCTCCACGAATATCCTGAATTTCATCGAACTTCCCCACCCGGGTAGAAATTCAACCGGGGGTTCAGCCGCAACTCGGGTGAGCGCGAGCTCAGCCTCGGCTTGCCGCTTGACCCGAGTTCACGCCGCGACACGCCGCTCCATACCGGCTCACAGTCGAACGCTCATCAGACGGCATAACCTGGCACTTGAGTTTGAGCTGTGGCTCAACGCTTAGAACTCAGCTCCGATTGAGTCGTGTCGTTTCGAGTGGAGGGTGGAATAGAATGATATTTATGCATTTTTAGAATATCGATTTAAAATTTGAATACTTTGGAAAATCAAGAAAAACCGAGCGGAAAAAACTTAGAAATCTTACGCCTAAGAAAATCTATAGGAACATAAAAACCTATTTACTTTCTTGCACCAAATTTTACCTTAACAAAAAGACTCTATGAAGTTGCATAATCGCCTATAGAATCGGCGCAAGAAACGAATAGAATTCTAATAGAACTTCCAGAGAATTCTCATAGAATTCCAATAGAAATTTAATAGAAAGCGCTAGGTTTTTCTGTTGAATTTTTTCATGCGTGTTATTTTGGCATACCTGTATTCAACATTTCCCTAATAAATCGTAGAATATTCTTAGAACTCGTAGGCCTATCGAAAAATGAAGAATATCCTCTCCTGTAGCGTTGATAATTAATAATAAAGGTTCGTTAACGTTTTTCAAGTGATTATTTTTCTTGATTTTGTTTGTTGTATTCGCGAGAAAAAAGAAAGTTTTGACTACGTTTCAGTGAATTGTTCTACCTTGTATTTTCAGATTAATCCCATTCGATTAGTTAATATCACGTTATTTCTGATGAGCTTGTGATTGTTCATCTGAAAAAGCATGCCATCTTCACATTTATTCGATTGTTTTTTCGCTCAAATCACGATGCCATCGGACCTGTCAAATCATTATTGAGGTTAAGTACACTGGGATTGAGTAATTGGAGATGAACCTGAGGTTGAACAGTGGCCATTCAACTAAAGCCCGGGGAAGCGTTTCGCGTAATAGTCTAACGCTGGGCTGTGAGCGCGTGACGCGGCTCAACCTCGGGTACATGTGACGCGCGTAGAGTTTATCCCAAGCTGGGGCGGAGTGGCGTATTTCTAGCTGGGATACGGATTCCGAGGCGAGCTCGAGCGGCGTGATTTCTACCCGGGCATACGGAAAAATATATATTTTTAAAAATATATTTAAAAATATCTTATATTTATTAATATTTATTTATACTCTTCATAAATTTGAAAAATGTATGGAATTGGCCCAGATTATATATATATTTTTTATGGGGGTCATCATATTTTCAATACTAATGCTTTTTTTGAAGAAAGGATATGAAAATGTCCCTAATTGAGAGTGAGGTAACATCGGCCTTATAGCTGAAAGGATAATAAAAACATGAAAATTTAATTTTTTTTCTGGAGGCCAAGATCTAGAAAAAATACGAAAATAATTAGCAATAATGCAGCATACTTAGATAATTTTTCGTTTTTTTCATTATTTTGAATTTTCAAACGAAACGCCTTGACTTCTTAAAACTCAGGAGCAATCTCATGTCTCAAATGTCATGGAAATTAATTTCTAGTGAAATGCAGAAAAACGTTTTGTGTCCAATTCTTCATGAAACGATGAATATCTTGCGTGGGAAGTAGGGTGATGAAAAATTGTCTCCGGAGAGAGCCAGGGAAATTCCCTGTGCTATACTCTATATGACAATCCATTTCGCCCGAATGATCGGGAAATATTCAAAGATTCAATTTTGAAACTTTGAAAAGTGTTTTCTATTTTTCTTTCACGATGTGAAAGGAGAACTATTGCAGAGTCTCTCTACTGTGATCAGCTATGTTGAAAAATGTAGAATCGTATCCAGTAAAATAGTCAGAAATTAAAGAGTGAAATATTTATTGGAGTAGTATGAATACATTGAATACATTGTGACTCTTAAAGATTATTTGAATCTTTTTATTAAAGTTGATACGAACAGAAACATCCATTTGTGATTGCAATTAATATGTTGAATGGAGAAACAAATAAAGTGAAATACATAATTTCTACATTTTCTTTTCCACATGTATGGAAATGATTTTTCTATACAACTTATTCTATCGAGATATTTTTTGCTTCCGAATGGAAGCATTGTAATCGTCCAAATTTAAGTTTTCGATTTTTTGTGTTATATCAACCCATTATGATCCAAAAAATCCGAAAATGCAATTTTTAGACCGCGTTCGTACGTGCGTACGTATGTATGTACGTATGCAACAAACTTTTTCTTCAATTATTCGGCAGTTCAACAATGGAATTCAATTTTTTTTTCTCAAATGTAGGTCTTACTGAGCCTCATCTACTACCATTAATTGAAATTCAATTCATTAATGCATTTTTAAAATTTTCGAATTTTTTCAAAAATTGTTTTTTTTACGATAACTACAAAAATGTTTCAAATTCATTAAATAACGGCTTAAAAAATTTGTTGAGATGCCCTTTCGACCGAGTTCGAAGATGAAGACGATAGCAGTAATCGTCACTGTGATTTTTGTGAAAATTTGCAAAAAAAATTTTTTTTTTCAAAATCTGAATTCCACAGACACTTTGGATTCCTGGCTTCGAATAAATGGTATCATGGCTTGAAATGTTTGCATTGATGCCCTTAAGTGGAAGTTGAACGATGGTTACGATAACTGCCTCCGTTGATTTAATTTTTTTATGATAATTTTCAGAAATTTCAAATGTTCCATCAGTTTCCCCGAAAATTAGCTTTTTTATGGTTTCTTCAAATGTGATGTTTCAAACTCAATCAATTATGAGTAAATACATTTTTTTCAATGATATTCTGTTCAAATTTTGTTATGATATAAATAGTATCATTCTTTCATTTGATTTATACAAGAATTAGAAGGAATTAGAAAGAAGCCATTTGTAATAGCTAGAAAACGATTCAATGAAAATATAAAAGCGAAATGAAAGCATGAAATGTAGCTTATAAAATGAATGCTACAAAGGAACAATGAGAGTGATGAAAGAATAATAAAAAAACAAATAAATAAATAAATAAAAATTCTATAAGAGGAAATAATAATAAAAATAATAAAAATTATAAAATTCAACTGAAGAGAAAATTTGACACAATTGATTGAAAAGAAACTTATTCAATTTAATGAAATAAAGTGAGATATAAATCATATACGTAAGAAAAAAAAATGCAGCATGACCATTCGGAAGCATATTGCTAATGTATTAGCAAAAAAAGCTGTACTATATGCTATACATTGGCAATTTCCAACTTGTTATAGAATTTCCTCGGTTCAAATTTTCCAAGTTTTTTTCATTCAATTTTTCTTTTCTTTTCATCAAGAAAATCAAACAAATAAATTTAGAAAATTTGGGCAGACTAAATTGTATAGAAAATTTTTCAATGGAATAAGTTGTATAGAAAAAACTAATTCTATTGATTTTTCTATAGAATATTTTCTACTGAACATTTCAATAGAATCAGCCAAAAATTTTTTTTTATATAAAATTTTTCCATACGTGTATGTATAATCTGTGCATTGCACGACTTGTTTACTCATATTTACGTCCACACACGTGGCAGTTTTATTTCAGTACAGAACCGAGGAGGATATTTACAAACGAGAAGAGAAGAAGGTCAAGTTACTCAAGGAGACAATACCCTTTTACCTCAACAAGTTTGAGCAAACGATCGCTGAAAATGGGGGCTACGCGGTCGGCAACACGGTAAATATTGATCAACGATAAGAGCGAATCCTAGTCGATTAGAATTCCCCAAACCTCGGCTGGATAGCACCAGCATCAATGTGAAGAAGAGAAAGAGAATTTTGCTGGAACCGAAAGTAGAAATGGCAGTTACTGCATTGATTTGCATAAATTTCCCTAGGTTTAAGGATGTTTCATCGACAAATATAAATTAAAAGTTCAAGGGCAATCTCAAATATTGAGGACTTTATGCTACTATTCTTAAATAAATAATTGGTTCTAATTTTTGTACTTCATTTTCTTCCTCATGAATCCAAAGAAAACTCTTGGAGTCAAAGGTCAAGTGTTTCTATTCTTGGGTTTTTAATCTCAACTTTTTTACATTCCGGGTGAAAACATTACATCTGTTTGTATGCTGTTAAATGCTGTTAATCTCATTTCGTTATGCCCTTCTTCCTGTCAGATTCGATATTCCTTTTTATCATTAATTGTTTATAATCATTCTTATTGGAAAAAGCAATACGATTGATGAGAATCATATTTCCCAATTTATCACTTGTTAAATGCACGCATGAAAAAAAATTAATAGAAAACCTAGTGAATTCGTTAGAAAATTCTATTGGATTTCTATTGAACTTTCTGTTAGTTTTTGGGAAATTCTATTGGAATGTTCAATAGAAAATATTCAATAGAAAAAGTTGATAGAATTCAATTTCCCGATGTAACTTATTCTTTTCAAACATTTTCTATAGAATTTCCTCGGCTGAAATTTCTCATTTTTTTTCATGCCATTTTACTTTTCTTGTCATCAAGAAAACCAAATCACTCCATCGGCAGAAGCTGATCAGTTGTCACAGTTCACAGCGCGCGTAGAAAATCTGATTTTTAGTGGTTTTTTGTTAATGTTGGCTGAAAAATGTTCCAGACGGATGTAATTTTCCTTGCAGAAGGTGTATTTATATATTGACAACTGTTCTTTAAAAATTTTATAAAAATTGCCTCCATTTTTTTTACTTTGTCGGTTCATCGTTAATTCTTTCTAGAATACACCATAGACTGAGAATTTCTGAAATTCAATGCTCATTGTTACTCTGGTAGAAGTACGTGCCCACACTGTTATAATTTTTTAGTTAGTTCACACAATAATCCAATTAATCTGTTATTCATCTTATCAATATAATTCTGCCCTTATAATATTGTCATCTCGTGTTTTGCCACAACTTTAATTCGAACAATTACAAAGCTTCCATTCGGAAGCAAAAATATAATAGATGTATCTTGTTATATCTCCCGAACAAAATTCTAATCCTCCAATTATAATTCCAGACGACATGGGCCGATTTCGTCTTCGCCGTAGCCCTAGAAAACTTCGAGCAACTGTTTGGTGCAAATGCCCTGGACAATTATCCAGGACTACGTGGACTAAAACACCGTGTTCATGAGATTCCCGCCATTGTCGATTGGCTGGCAAAGAGACCACAAACGGATTTTTAAAAGTAAAAGAACCCAAGAATGATAATTAAAACGATCAATAAACGCCCATTATCGATCAAGGTGGCAAGAAACCGGATTTAATAATTAATCGGTGCATATCTACGCGTACCTACTATGACGGAACTCTGCGTGTGGCCTTAACAATTTTATTAAATTATTCCGTTTGTCATTGATTTGTTTACAATCTCCATTCATTTTTGTATGAATAAAAATTCTCCAAGCCAAGAATTTTCAATTTCTTGATTACGAAAATGAATGCTGGGTTCAATATTAGAAAGGATTTCTACTCATGAGTAATTAGTTAATGACTCTTGTTTAATGACGTCAATTATCTCGACAACAATTCCACGAAAATTTTAACAATTATATCAGTCGACGATTTACATACAATGACAAAAGTTGCTATCAAAATTATTATGAACACACATTCGAATATAACTTTGACTTCATTTCCATTGTCGAGAATTTCAAATTTCCGTTATAACTTTGTGTATTTACCTCTTGTACACGTAGAAACAAGAAAACTCGAAATGTGGAGGTAAACAGAAATGGGTATTGTATATAATTGGATTCGTTAACGAGGAGAAAGGAAATTAAGCCGGGTGCTATGTACTAATCTTCATGGATTCAAATGCATAATCTCACATGAACGAAATTTAATAAAAAATGAGAAAAATTGTTGAGATAGCACTTTTTAAAATTTCTGTTTAAATTTTCCAATACGCGAGGTACTTAAAATTCGAGACAAGTTTAAATTTTCGTATTTCCCTGGGAAATTAGAAATGAGGTTATATTTTGCATAAAACATTGAATATTCATGTGGTTATTTAGGAAATATGATATTTTTCTATCATTTCGTGATATGATGTGAGAGTTTTGAGAACAAGATTGGATTTTCTCTCCGTACAATGAATTTGGGACACGAAATCAAACCATTCACCTGATCCTGTACGACTCATGACTCAGAAAGCTGTTAAGAGTCAAGGAGACTGTAAGGTCAAGGATTCAAGATAATAAAGATCGCAAAGGATTATATGAAGGATCAAATAGCCGTTAAGAGTTAACCTTATGAGGGTCAAAAGGATCATAAAGGGTCATGTGAAGGGTACTCGAAAGCAATATGGACTAGAGTCTTATACAATTGACAAATACAACTGAGAGGAATGTGATACGAGTCAGAAAGACTGTAAGGGTCAATCCCGCAAGAGTCAAGGGTCATGTGAAAGCCATATGGGTCAGGCCCGGTTGCACCATCGTCTGTTAACTAAACCGCCAGATAATGGTCTGTTAGTCCATAAGGATTACACATGGATAAATTTATCCTGGGGTAAAAATAACTAAGAGGGCTCGGTGCAACCAGGCCTCAGTCTTATGTAACCGACATGTATAATAGTCAGGATTCTGGTAAGGGTCAAAGCCCTTACTAGAATGCTTAATCCAAAGTCTTTAAAGGTTATCTTTATGAGGGTCAGAAGGGTCTCAAGGGCTCATGTGGAGGTAATCTAAAAACCATGTGGACAGGAGGCTTATATAACCGGCATCTATAATATCTTACACATCTGACATTCATTAGGGTGGAAAATTTGATAAGGGTCAGACTGTAAAGGTCAAAAGTTGTCATGTGAAGGTCATATGGATCCGTTTTATACAACCGACGTTTATAGGAAAAATGGTTAGGATTTTGATGGGGGTCAAAAATCCCGTAAGGGTTAGCCTTATGAGCGTCAGAAGGGTCTCAAGGGGTCATATACAGGTCATGGGAAGCCATATAGACTAGAATTATAGTTGAACAACATGTATAACATTTTACATATCTGACATTTATAAGTGTAAAAAATCTGATAAGGATCGGGAAAAAAGTCATATGAGTCAGAGTCTTACAGAACCGACATTCAAAAGTATCGGAATTCTGATGAGGATCAAAAGGGTCTTGAGGGGCCATGTGAAGGTCACATAAAAGTCATGTAAGCCTGTCTTATATCAGCGATATCTATACAACGATCAAGATTCTGATGAGAGCTAGGAAACCCATAACGGTTGAACTTATGAGTGTTATAAGAATCACGAGTGGTCACATGAAAATAAGAAAATTTATAAATACACTTCGAGTTTTGAGAACCTCCCATTGGAAGTTTCAGGAAAAAATTTTCAACACTGAAAATTATCAAGGTGATTGCGATCAGTATACGTTTTTGAGTGTATAGATGTTATTTATTGGTGTTGAAAATATTGAAAATAATGTAAACGTTATGCGTTTCGGCTGATTGATTCTACAGACGATTGAAAGAAAAAAAATTATTTGATTAGAAGAGAAAAGTCCTGAGCACTTGCGATTGAATGTTAATTAATGCTGCCAGTAGTGTATTTCCCAGAGAGAGGAATTTATTTTCTTCGGTTGGAGTGATGAAGTAATTAATTTTGAATAAGTGTGAATGGAAGGGGTGAGATTGGATTCCATTGCAAGGGGATGGATTATTTTTTCACAGTCAAATGATTTTTTTTTACTTTGGTGAAGGAGATGAGAGAGGATGATGGGATCGGTGAAGAATTCGACTGCGAGTGAGATTGAGAGAGACATTATTAGATTGGAGACTGTATTTTGATGTCAATGTAACATGTCAACAATGGTTGATGCGATTAAATATGAATGTTGAGATAATTAATGAACTTTTTCATTTTATTTAGTAAGATTTTAAACAACAGTGCTTCTATGATTTGACATTAAATAGGAATATTTCCTGATGTTTTTTTATTTTTTTATACCGCCATTTATATCAAACTATGTCTAAAATCAATCTAAACCTTTGCAAATCCAGGGATGGACATAATTGTAAATTATAATTAATATCATTTGATTACTTAGATAATCCATAATTCGAGGGGATGATTTTTTAATCAATTAAGCAATGAATAATCTGTACCGAAAATTACCAATAATTTTTCTAATTGTCAATTTGTTCCAATCCTCAACCATTTTTTGATAAATGAATAATGACCCTTCAATGATTATCAATTAATTATTCAATATCATGATTATTCAATTAATCATGTCTGATATTTCTCAATTATTTGAAAAGGAATTAATTGAATCTGGAAATTTCTGATTAACCCCGATAGTGGTTAGCTGAGATTCCGAAAAGATCAATTATTTAGTCAATGAGTAATTTCAATGGAAAGATTTCCATTTATTTACCCGAGCAACAATTGGGATCCATAATTATCCAATATTCCGATGAATTTGCAATCGTATCGAGACCACTTTCAATACTTTAAGCAATTCGTGATCGAAACGAAATAAATTTGCCATTGGCAATTGACGTGGTAAAAATTGAGGGCGGGGGAGAGAAGTTGTATTGAATTCTCGATGTACTTAGTCCGTTGGTGAGTTTTTCAAGGATATCTCCGAAACTAAGGGAGATAGCAAATTTTTATTGAAAAATTGGGGGGAGGGTCGGATAAACAAACCCTGCTGGCCCTAACAAAAGTTGTATTGATTTTGATTGGTCGTATTAATTGGGGAATTTGTATTGAATTCTCGATGTGTCAAGGAGATACCCGAGTGGAAATTGCTTCAGGGCCACCTGAATCACGATCAGAACTTGATCAGGTTTTTGTAAGGTTCGACTGATTCGGTGATTTCTGATGAGAACCTGACCAAGTTCTGATTCAGCAGATCGGTTCCGAAAAACTACAGGCGGGTTCAGATCAAGTTCTGATCAGGTAGACATAATCAGATGATGCCTGATGAGAACCTGACCAAGTTCTGATTCAGCAGATCGGTTCCGAAAAACTACAGGCGGGTTCAGATCAAGTTCTGATCAGGTAGACATAATCAGATGATGCCTGATGAGAACCTGACCAAGTTCTGATTCAGCAGATCGGTTCCGAAAAACTACAGGCGGGTTCAGATCAAGTTCTGATCAGGTAGACATAATCAGATGATGCCTGATGAGAACCTGACCAAATTTTGATCCAGTAGATCGGATCCGAAAAACTGCAGGATGATTCAGATCGAGTTCTGATCAGGTAGGCACGATATCACCCTGAGGTCGGCTGCCTGACCCTAATTTGATCAAATTCGGATTTGATGTCATTGATCGGCATTTGAACGGGGTCAATTGAAGAGAAAATGATCAGATTCAGATCCGGTCCACCTGACATTAATTTTAATAAGTTTTTCGGATAATTTAATTAACTATCATTATACTATTCAAATTAAGTTTTATCAACCATTACTTATAATTATTTTCAATCTTTAAAAAGAATCATTATAGTATAATTAAAATAAATTAAATTAATTTATTTTAATGAATTTAATTTCATTTATAAATTTAATTAACAGCCAGCTCTTCTCAAATGTACAGAAGGGAGGGATGATGATGCCGTAAATATGTATTAGAGGAGTATCAAACTTACACGCAAATGATCTTGAGAAAAAAAAATCAACAAATGTCTATTTATTTGTTAGTGTTATTGTTATTATCATTATTATTATTCATTAGTGAAATAAATAAAACTTTAATTCAACATATTTTATCTCTGAGAATATACACGCACATCCGCGAGATCAGGAATTTTTTAATTTTTTTTTATTAAGAATTTGAAACTTATTAACAAAGTTTATCAGCTATAAATTGATAATATATAGAATTAATGTCTGGACTGTATTGATTCTTTAGATTTTGAGTTCACAATCTTTGAAAAATTTATCGATGGCATCAATGATAGAGGGTCTAAGATCATGTACAATGTCTAACATTCTACAGGGTAGTGTACAATATTTAGCAATTTTTAATATCATTCTTTCCCGCTGGTCTTCAAATCGTGGACATTGCCATACGATGTGATCGATATCTTCTTCCGCATAACCGCATTCACATGAAGAATCGTTTAAGATCCCAATCCTGAACAATGACGAATTCAAATTGTAGTGGTCAGCCCTAATACGATTGACCCATAGAATTGTGTGTCGACGAAGTTTTTTACGCCTGTGGAATCACGGCTTGGATGACTTTTCAAAAAGATGTTGAAAGTATCTTTTACCCTTCGATTGTCCTTGCTCTAGCAACGAATCTGTTGTATTTTTTTTCAAAGCTGCCTTGAATTGTTCTCTGAAGTCCGTGAAAGGAATTCTGCTCATTTCAGGACGGTTTGCTTCAGTAGCTAACTTTGCGAGTCTGTCAGCCTCCTCGTTACCAGGAATACCCAGGTGAGAGGGTATTCAGAAGAGCTTAATTTCACGCATTGAAAACGTTCTATTTTTGAATTCATTGAATTTCTCTCGAGCCTCTAGTAACTGTTCATTGACTTTTATCTTCAATTGAGGGTAATTAAGAGATTGAAGGGCACTAAGACTGTCAGAAAATATATAAACATCTCTATCTGTATTCTGCATGGCTAGGTCCATTGCTTCATTCAGTGCTATGCATTCAGCTGTATAGACAGAGGCTTTCGGATTAATACTTATGGTACTTCGAAAATCCAATTGTGGGCAATAAATACCTGCACCAACACAGTAAGTTCCTGATACTTTGCTGCCGTCTGTATATATTTCATAAACTTCATCGCCTATTCCGTCAATAAAATTCCTCACGATTCTAGGTTCTTCACTAGCTTGCACATCTTTCCCAGTCTCTAAGTCAAAAGGGATTGACGTGATCACATCATTGTACTGGTGATTGTAGATACTAAAATGGGGTTTTGAGTCTACTTGCTCTATCAACGGTCTTATTTCTCTTGCACACTGGAACATCAGTCTATTTTGTCTTTTCTTAACAAGAGGATCATTGGTAATGAATTTATGTAATAGAGTGTGGAAATGGAGACGAGTATTACTCAGTACTTTAACATAAAAATTCTTGAGGAGAAACTTCGCTCGCTCTCTGATGTTCGGGAGCTTTGCTTCGGCAGTAATTACGTTAATAGGAGTACTTTTCCTATATCCCATCAAAGATCTGAGCGCGTCGTTTTGAATTTTTTCTATTACGTAAGCCAATTTTTTCGTTGTGGGATAATAGATTCCCAGAGCATACTCCACAAGAGACCTAACAAAGCTTTTATATATGATTAGAAGAGTACTTGGGTCGCAACCCCACCAAGTGCTATGCAAGAATTTGATGAGATTGAGAGCCTTGAGAGCCCTTCTTTCAATGTATTCCAGGTGTAGACGAAACTGCAATTTACAATCGAGGATAATTCCCAAAAATCTGGCTGACTCTGACGACTTGATAGTAAAATCCCCAATTATTATTTGTGTTTCTCCTGGTTTTATCTTTTTCTTGAGGGTGAAATGGATCAATTTCGTTTTTTGTGGAGCAAGCTCGAGACCTATTTCATCTAAATTTCTTCCTAAAGTTTTAACAGCCCTCTCTATTTTCCAGATATTTTGATTGATGTTCTTACCTCGACAATAAACAGCGGTGTCATCAGCAAACTGGGAGACAACAACATCTTCGGGAACATTTTTAACAATATCTAGCACATAGATTGAGTATAGCAGAGGGCTCAAAACACCACCTTGGGGTACTCCCCTGTGAAGATATCTTACTTGTTCCGAATGAGCAGTGGAGACTTCTCGTTGGTGCATGATGCACTTGACAAATTGAAGCAGACTTAAAGGACATCCTATCTTCGCAAGCTTATCTAATAGAATATCACAATTGACGTTGTCAAAGGCACCACGAACATCTAAAAATGCCGCTAGTGTGTCTTCTTGATTTGAAAATCTTTGACTGATAGTCATTGTGATGTTCGCTAGATTATTTAGGCAGGAATTCCCCTTCCGGAACCCTGTTTGATTGTGCGTTATAATTCCTTCATGCTCCACCCACCAGTCCAGTCGTTTTTTAATCATTGTCTCGAAAAGTTTACACACACATGAGGATAATGAAATAGGCCTCACACTTTCTGCATTTGATTTGGGTATGAAGTGAATAAATTGTTTAGCCCAAATCTCAGGGTACACTCCAGACTTATATAATTCATTAAATATGTCCAATAATATTAGCTTGTATTTATTGGGCAGTCTTTTCAATATCGAATAATCAATGCCATCAATACCTGGAGAACTATTAATGTTTCTGGATCCAAGCGCCACGTTGAATTCTATGTAGTCGAAAGAATCAGACAGGAATGCGGTGTTCTCATATGGAGGATACCAATCAGGATCAGTTGGTACGAATGGAGGACTGAGTTTATTCATTGCTGCTTCAATTTTGTTGTTCAGTTGGAGGTTTTCGGTGGGATTATTTTTTCCCACCTTAACCCACTTGTTTTTTAGGACTCGACACTTATTCCAAACATACTTGATGTTTGTTCTACTGTCCAAGGATTCTGCGAACGAGATGAAGTGTTCCTTTTTCTTTTTTTTGAATAATTTCTTGGCAACGGCCACGAGTTTTTTGTACTCTATAAGGTCATTCTGTTTTTTCGTGTATCTCCATTTTTTAAACGCAGCTCTCCTCAATCGTTTGATTTTTTCACACTCATTGTCCCACCATGACAGTGGATTAGACTTCCATATATTTAACGATTTCGTCTTATCTTGTGTTCCCTGGTTATTGACATTCGTATTCTTTCATCTCAGTTTATGCTTAGACTTCGATTTTCCTGGAGTAGACTGTGCGATAGCATCTTCAATCGTACTAATAAAAGTCTTGT